TATACATTTATAATATATATCTATATTTGGTTTTCTCTTCTTTTCTGGGAGGTGCTGTTTCGTGCTGATCTCTCTCTCCGCAGGGTTGTTGGCACCAGCCCTGCCGGTGAGGTACAAAAGCAGATTCTTCGCCAATTTATCAGAGGAAATAAAAACAAACAAAAACAAAAAAAAAGAAGAAAAAAAAAACCTATTTAAGAAATATATATATTTTTTCTGCTTTTATTAAAAGCAAATTTATTTAAAAATAAAATATAAAGAGACTGTAAGTTTTAAGAGATGACGCATTTATTGCCCCGTCCCTGAGCGCAGCGGCCGGGGCGGGCTCCCCAGCTCGTGTAACCGGGGGGGACCCCACTTACACCGGCTGTGGGGACACTGCTGGGGACCCCGGTGGTGGTCATTATTTGAGGTCGTTTTCCTTTTTTCTTTTTCTTTTTTTTTTATTTTTAAGAAAAAAGTAATTCTTAATTTTATTTTGGTCATTATTTTTCATAACACTTCATATTACCAGTGACTTGTAACCGAGACAGGATTTGCATCGGGAGGAAATCTATTTATGCACTGGGGAGGGTGGGAAGGGAGGCATTTGTTTTCTGGGTTTTTTTGCTAGTGTTAGAGAAATAAAAGTATCTATGAAACAGCGAGGTGTGAGCGTCTTTTGTGCAGAGGGGACCTCAGATAATTTTAATATTAAACCAAAGAGATGGTGGATAAATGGCTCTACCCGGCAAGGAAGGGTCTCTCCTCGCCTGTAGTTTGCTCCAGGGGTGGTGACACCTTCCTCCCCCTGTTCTGGGAGGTCATTTTCCCAGTCGAGTTTAATTCAGCTGTAGCTATAATTCCTGGAGGGATAAGGAGATGTGATCCCGCTCTGGTAAGGGGCAGAGGAGCAGTGTGGGAGCTGCACCGGTGACGATGCTGTGGCTGCATCCCCCAGGCCCGTGCAGGGGGCTCTGGTACCACCTCCTGGGTGCATCCCCCCACATTGGGCATCCCCCGAGCATCTCCCATCCCATCCTGGGGAGGACCAAGGCAGGGTCCCATGGCCACCACCCCCCTTGTGTCACCCTGCAGCGCTGCCCGGCCACCGCCTGTGTCCCCACCTCAAGGAGCCGCTGCTGGGCTGTTAATGATTTGCAGGATGACGTGGGGACTAAAGGCCCTTTCCAAGGGTCACTGCTGGGAAGGACGCTCGCCCAGCCCCGCCGCCGCCAACATGGTGTCTCTGACCGACTTCCAGCGTAAGCGGGTGGGCTGGGTGTCCCAGGGGCGATGCCCATCCCCGTGGTGTTGGGGCAGAACCAAAACAGGGATGGGGGCTGTGAAGTGGGGTCACCAAGGCAGGGAAGGGGTGCAATGGGGAGCCCTGTCCTAGGGTGGGAGAGGTGCAGGGATGTGGGGACCAGGCAGGGCTGTGTGTGGGGAGCAGCACCCCGGGTCTGCTCAGGAACAGCCTTCGTGCCCCTGCTCAGAAAAATGCTGGAGACCTTCATGTTCTTTATTTCTCCATGGTTTGTTCTTTATCTTTATTCTTTATCTTTCTTTATTCTTTATCAGAGGGGTTTCCGGGGTACCCAAGAGTGTCCCCAAGACTTGGGCAGGTGGAAAGGTTGTTCCTAAGGTTTAGGGGCAAATCCAAAGCATATTTCTGGGAGGGAACAGGCAAGGAGAGGAACCGCTGAGCCCATCTCAGCCCTAATCCCATCCTCCACAGGGATCGGCGTGGGACTGGTTGGCTTTGGCCTCTTCTTCATCCTTTTTGGGATGCTCCTGTACTTCGACTCGGTGCTCCTGGCCTTTGGGAACGTGAGTACAGCGGGGCTGGGGCTCTCTGCAGCGGGCACTGATGCCCAGGATGGAGCAAAGGGTCTGTCTGGACATGGCTTCACTGACCCTCTCCCCTTCATTCCCCCAGATCCTCTTCCTCTCCGGCTTGGTCTTCATCATCGGCTTCAGGAGGACATTCACCTTCTTCTTCCAGCGGCCAAAGCTGAAGGGCACCAGCTTCTTCTTTGGGGGGGTCCTCATCGTCCTGATGCGGTGGCCGCTCCTGGGCATGCTGCTGGAGGCCTACGGCTTCATCACCCTCTTCAGGTCCGTCCTGCAGCCCCCATCTCCCCACCACGGCACGGGTGCCCCTGGGTAATCCTCGTGCTCTGCTCCCCTCCTGGGCATGGAGCTTTACGGAGACTTTTCTTTCGATGCAGGAGTTTCTTCCCGGTGGCTTTTGGGTTTTTGGGCTCTCTGATTAACATCCCGGTGCTGAGCAAGGTGAGCAGAGCGCTGGGGATGGGTCTCATGGGTGGATGTGGCCTTGGGGTCTACAGTCCTGGGGTGACATCAGTCCCCATTGCCATGATTGGAACCGATGGGGTTGTCACCTGAGGATGCATGGGTTTCCTATCGGATCTCTCCCTGCCACAGCTCTTGCAGAAGGTGGGAGACAGCAGCTCCATGGTGTGACCTGCAGGATGGGCTGCATCGCTGGAGATGGGACAGGGCAGGCGAGTCCCATAGGAGCTGTTGCTTCTCCTGGCTTCGGGGCCTACGGTGCTGGTTGGAGCCACTGCTGCTGTGGGGATGGTGACTCCCAACCCCATGGGGCTCCCATGAGCAGCTCCTGAGCAAGGCTTTGGGGCCCAAACGCTGTGCCAGGCAGGCTTCTGGAATTATCAGCGTTATTTAATGCTTTTTTTGTCTTCCCCTGTTGAGAGATTTAATTAAAAAGTGTGTCTGAGACCCAGCTCAGACTGCGCTCCTTTCCTGTGGTGCTGGGCTTGAGCCAGACATGGACGGAGGTGGCACAGGGACCTGACCATGGCCGTGGATGGAGGTGGCACAGGGACCTGACCATGGCCATGGATGGAGGTGGCACAGGGACCTGACCATGGCCATGGATGGAGGTGGCACAGGGACCTGACCATGGCCATGGACGGAGGTGGCACAGGGACCTGACCATGGCTGTGGATGGAGGTGGCACAGGGACCTTCCCATGGCCATAGATGGAGGGGGCAAC